CTATAATCAAGTGAAGGATGTGTTACTGAGAGATATGTGTGATGCTGTGCCTAAACTTCTATAAAAATGGGGCAACCCGAGTGCAAATTGAATGCAAGTCGAGGGTTTAGAGAAAGGTCACACCACAAGGGTGTATAGAGGGGTGAGTCTCCCCTTTTCAAATATTGACAAGAGTTCACTCCCAAGACGTGTTTCCTCTGGGTCAAACGGAAACACGTGAATCAGTTCGCCACCCTTCGAAGTACTCATTAATTAGACTTTAGGAAATGTACCCGTCATGAGGTACTCGGGTGCAGTGTAACCGTGAGTGCCCATGATACGAGTCGTAACATGTGTCTTGTCGCCTTCTGGACCGTCCCTTGCAAGGCCAAAGTCAGAAAGCTTTGGTGTGTAATCCTAAAAATATAAAGTGTGAGTGGTTAATATGGTATTATGAATCACACACATATCAGAATGAAGAATGGGGCTCAATCAAATTCTCTGTACCGAATCTAGTAAGATATTTGAGGCCTTAAAGTCCCGATATATAACCGGTACTTCTTGCTCATGAAGGAAAGCCAATCCCTTTGCAGCCCCATGTACAATTTTAAGTGTAGTCTGCCATGGCAAGCAAGCACGATGCCCTGCATACATAGTAAATGCATCAAGTTAAGATAGCCTATATAATGTGTCCCCCCCCCCCCCATTATTAGGCACTTAATGTAATTTCTCACTTCCAAATAAAAGATCTTCTAGACTCCCTCTATTCATGTACTCATAAACCAGCAGCCTATCACTTGACTCCCAGCAATATCCAATCAATTTCACCAAATTTGGATGCTTCAGTTGAGCTAGCATTATAACCTCAGCCTGACCCCAATAGTAAAAAGTGTGAAACAGTCAATAGAACATAGTATATACTATAGAGAACATTTTCAAGGTAACTACACCTATGTTCGAAAAAGTGCTAATGGAGCAATGGTTCAGTTTGGGCCCGAAAACACGAAAACATGAGAAACGGGAAAGCATGAAACGGGAGACACCATCTCTATTTCGATAGAAAAACAAGTGTTTAGAGAGTTTATAAAGCAAAATGACTCATTAAACTGTCTGTGCTTCTTTGTTATAAACATCAATTAGTCCACGCAATTTTCGACACGGTTTTCACTATGGGTCATTCAGAAACGGTCTCTTTGTACTTAAGTACGTGGGTAAGACTACCCGACCCCCTTACCCCACCGTAGATGGGAGCCTTTGCTGCACCGGGTAATGACGATGATGATGAGACTTTCTAAAGCGTGCCGAAAACTTTCTTGATTCATAGTACCACTAGTACTTATGTGATCATTCAATTCAACTCCTTACCAGCCATTCGCGGTGACCCTAAGCTCCCTCCAGATTCAGCCGCTTAACCGCGACAGGCGCATCATCAACGATCCCTTTATGGACCGGCCCGAACCCTCCCATTCCAAGAAAATTGCCCACAGAGAATTTGCTGGTGATGAGTCTTAGCTCAGAAAGGGTGAAGACAGTGAGGTTGGAACCAATGACAGAGTTGGAAGAGAGGTAGCCGGCAGATAGTAAAGGCCAGCCATGGTTGCTGAGATCCTGCACCGATATCCGCCGAGAAGAAGGGTGTTTGGATCCATGCTGATTCTTTGTGGATTGATGAACGGGATAGAGAGTCCCGCGGGGTTTGAAACAACTTGGGATCATCATAAGATTGATGACAATCTTGAGAGTCATTCTGGGTTTCTGGTTGTTTGATTTAAGGATAGGATTATTGATGAAAATGGATGGATTGGATTAATGGAAACTGCCTTTAATTAGCAAATTGGAATATATAGAAGACAGAGTGATAGAGATGTCAAAAAAATGAGTGCGTAAGACGTGAAGTGTTTCTACTCGGCGGGGGTGGAGATATATACGTTGCGGCTTGACTTTCGAAAAAGGGGGCACGTGCACACGTAATAACTAAAAAAACAGCTGGACGATTAACCCCCCCCCCCCCCCGCTTTGATACGAAGTATTTTTAAGAGAAAACTGTCAAATAGGTCCTCGAACTTTCATAAAAAGGTCAATTAAGTCCTTCTATAGGAGATTCTGTCTGGCCGTCGCGATTTGGGGCAGTTCCCGGTGGAGTTTTTTGATGAAATTTTTTGAGCATCTTATTCACCAAGTCTAGTTTACTCATACCAAATTTCAGCTTAAAATTCAATCGGGAACACATTCAAATTAATTCTTGAAGATAACTGCGCATTTTTGCGTTTTCGAATTAATTTGAATGCGCTGCCGATTAATTTTTTAGCTAAAATTTGGTATGAGTAAACTAGACTTGATGAATAAGATGCTCTAAAAATTTCATCAAAAAATTCCACCGGGAACCGCCCCAAATCGCGATGATCGGACAGAGTCTCCTATAGAAAGACTTAATTGACTTTTTTATGAAAGTTCGAGTACCTATTTGACAGTTTTCCCTATTTTTAATGTTCAAATTGTGACGCGGTGATTGGGCTTTTGCTAAAATAGTGTGGGGCAAAGTTTACTTTTTGACATGATTTCCTGATAAAAGTTGCAAAAGTAATGATCAATATATAATTAGGGGTACGGAAATGTTGCTACACCGCATTTAACGTATCGAAAAATATGGAATTTATCGAAAATGTAGATGTTCGGACATTTTCAGTATGTTATGATACTATGTCAAATTATGAAATATTTTGTTATGATATCACTATATATTTTGAAATAAAGGTATCTCGATATACTGAAAGTCTTATTCAAATAATGTATTTAAATTTATAAAATGACTAGAAACACAACATCATCGGAGTAAATTATTTTATATTCATGTTGTTTGATTAATTTAACTTTTTTGTTAGAGATCATTACCGCCTTTAAACTTAACGCCTTTAAACTTAACATTTTAGTATGACGCAAACAATAACAAATTGATAACAGAAAGTGTGCTTTTTGGGTCTATCTTTATGGTGGCATGTTATACCAAATTCAATATTGTTTTTATTGAAAAGCTGAATTCAATCATTGAACTATTTCACTATCACTTTTATTATTTAGGATTATGCTTCAAGTTCAAATTAATTGTTTTTCTCTATATTTAAGACTTTATATGGCATTTCTCAGTCATTAGTCATGCTAAATAATTGTAACTTTTAGGCAAAATTCATAGCAATAATATATACTTTTAATGTCTTTACAATGTTTATCATTTTAATATTCATGACAATGGTTCGAACTAGTAATGATGTTTGCAGAAATAAATTGAGATGAAAAGGCACGGGTCACAATGTAATATCCCTCGCTCTCCCCCTCATTGTCCCTTGACACTCTTCTTCAGCCATTCTCCCGCATTCAGTAGTCCACCTTGATATGCTCATGTCTCTACCTTCTTAAGCTAAGCAAGTTTTGTACCTATGTTTCTTCCCCAAATTTCGTCCATTTCTGTTCACACATTCTTCTCAGCCTCTTAAACGCCTCTCCAAGGTGCAAGTTTCTGGCTAATTGAGAATTCTTTTGAATTTTCATGTGCTCTTTTTGAATGGTGCACAGAATAACCAGGTCATATTTTTTTAAATCACAACTACGTAGTCACCTTATGGATATGTTAGAACTTGGAACGTATTACTCATGCGGATCCAAACACACACACATAGTCAGGGCCGTCTTTTAGGAGGTGCAATAGGTGCTTAGCACCAGGACCAACTCTTGTAGAGGGCCTCCAATAATTTAGAACGTAATATTAGTCATAGGTTGGTTTTTCCAGATTTTATACTATCTATATTATTAAGAATTCCAAAAGCTATATAACTTTTAGATTCTCTAATTTGTGGACTTTAAACATCATACAACTTATATTTCATCGAACTGTTTAGTCTATTTGTATTTCGTTGTTAAAATTTGTACTTTCCTTGTTTTAGGGGGCCTCAATTTGCTATTTCGAACCGGGGCCTCCAAATTCATTAGACGGCCCTGCACATAGTAATTGGAACTGGTAAAACACTAATCCCATGTCTAAGCCATCGCACTAGAAGGAGAAAAGGCAAATGGTATGTTGAGAAGTACACGCATCACGAGTAAAGAGAGAAAAATGGAAGGTGACGGAGTAAAACAAGTTTCATTGAATCTATTTGTTAACATCACAAATTGAGATTATTTTTATAGACATGTTTAGAAGGGATTATTATTGTTACAAAATCCCTAAAAAGTTAAGATTATTATATGAACTTTGCCTAATTTTCAAAAGCACTTTTCTATGTAATTTTCAAAATTAATTACTTTTCAATAAAAATGACAGCAAAGAGCTTTTCAATCTGTTACCTCAACCTCAAATTGGATATAGGCATAAGGCATATAGCCTCCTTGGGTATTGTTTCCTGTCTTTAGGTTTTTTTTCGGTCTTTTTTTTGCCACCTTTCGAATGTTTTCAGATTTTTTGTATAACACAGGGCCGTAAATGAGGGCGTGCAAGAAATGCTACCGCACAAGGCCTCTCGATTCAGAAGGTCCAAAATTTGTCTACATAATATACAAAATCCTTTTTTATTTGATTACAAATTCATATTTTAGTATTTTGTTTTCAAATACAAACATTAAATACTAATATTTATATGTAATTAAAATGCAATTGTTAATTATAAATGTGCAACTTCTTTATTACATAAGGCCTGGATAAGGCCTAGTTATAGTAATTAGCACAAATTTCTCGTGCAGTTTGGACGAGCTTGGTTTTAAGGAACAGAGGGAGTAGTTTTTCAGTAATATTCTACTATATATTTTTTAGTTCAAGATTTTAATTCATTTCTTTTCGGTTTTAGTAATTTTTATTTTACCGATTTTAGTTGTTCAGGTTCGAGATATGATTACATCTCAATGTCACATTTGATTGTAGTCTTTTTTAGGTTATTTTTTAAAGGCTGCTATTTATATTATATTTATTTAATGTAAGGCTTATCTTATGTGATTTGCACCACGTCTCCTAATGTATTGAGCCGGCCCTGGTATAACTAACATAAAACATTTTCACAAGTAAGCCTTGAAATATATATGGGTTCAAATAAAAACTTAATTACAAGTTGTATATGTTTACAAACTAACGCTAAATTTTCTACTAAAGCGCAAAAGTTTGATTTAAGTATGTCAAAATCTTGATATATATAATAAAACAAGGGGAATTTGACTTTGCACCCCATTTTTTGGATAATATTGGACTTTGCACCCCATTTTGAAAAAATTTTGACTTTACACCCCATTCCACTTAAAAATCTTTTGACTTTGCACCCCATTTAGAAATTTTTTTTTACAAAGTGAATTGTGATGGGGTGCAAAATCAAAGTTTTTTCAAATTAGGGTGCAAAGTCCAATATCACCCAAAAAGTGGGGTACGGTGCAAACTCAAATTCTCCCATAAAACAAAGATTAGTAATATTATTAATAACCATATAATAATAAATTGATGTCAATAATGATAGTAGTAATAGACGGATGCCAAGCAGGCAAGCATCATAGGAAGTTCAAAACTGTCAGGGAATCACGCCATCTTAAGTTTCATATTGTTTGACAAATTTTACTGAGGACGACCACCGGGTGATTGAATTCCATGCCTCTTGAAATACTCTCTGAATCCATATGCACTAAGATCATGATTGAACTGGAGAGAGAATAAACAAAAACCAAAACATTAGTAGTTACTCAAAGCAACATAATTATTAGCCCAAGGTGAAAACCTTAATTAAGTAAATTTCTGGCTTTCTTTTAACTTGGTCATGAACATGCAAGGTTGTTAAGATCGCGAGTAAGATCGTTGACTCGTACGATGTTACGCGTTAAGGCAGCAGGCATGAGCTGAATCGCTCAAAAGATCGGAAATTGCAGCAAACTCGACGGATCGTCGAGTAAGATCGTTAGATCGTAGAATCGTCGATCTATGTCGATCTTCGTCATCCATGGCTTAACTGGTCGAAAATCTCAAAATCCAAAACGACACAGCTTTTGAAATAAAAAAAAATAAACACTTACGCAACCCAACTCCCCAAGCGACGATCAGACTCCATAGCGACTCGCCTTCTTCAGTTCTATAAAAAGGATGGGGAGTGTCGCACTACTGTGCGTACTCATTCTTTGACTCTGTCCATCTCCAGTTCTCCATACAACCTTTTTTCAAGTATCCGTGTAAACTTCTCTTCGTCCCTCTCTGTTACACTTTACACTCTTTTGTTCTGTTCGTCAAATGGTTCTGGAAGAGTCCCAGAATTGTTATCTATGGCAAGTGGACAAGTGGTTCTGGAAGAGTGAACAATATGTTTTAAGATCTATTTTCAAGTTTTAAGTTATTCATCATATGTTATTATGTATAAATGTGGTTCTCGAAGGGTCCCAGAAATGACATGATGTTATGCATATTTCAAAAGTTTTAATTTAAATAAATACATACACACACACACACATGTACATATATATGCATGGTATCTTTGCTTTTAGGATCTTACGATTCGAGCTACGATCCACGAGTTACGATCTTCTAGCCCACTACCGATCCGAGCTAGGATCTCGAGTTTAACAACCTTGTGAACATGAAATATCGCAAAAGTGGCGCAAAACAGTCAAATAGACCCAACTACTAAATTGAATTCGGCATGCAAGAAAGCCAATGAGAATTATTATGGCACACTCAAGTCCAAGAAGGATTTCATCACTCTAAATTGGTAGTCAGCTCCTGAACAAGAACCGCTCACTGGCAGAATAATTGCAGTTGCAGAAATTTAACCAAAATTCTTTGATTTTTTCCAAACACAAATTAAATAGATTGGGTCTGCCATAGTGAAGGCTTCAAAGGCTTTAATACTTAGGATGATACTGAATATTTGAGAGATTCTAAGAGCACACCTGCTTGAATATTTTCATTGTCTTGATCGTTCATCTATGTTCTTTCTACTAGACACCCTCTCCTAGTCGAGACCATGGCTTCACAATTACAGTTTGTGTAAGGTAATGTTTAGCGAGGTAGTGAAGGGAATGAATGTAGGATTAGATCCTAAAACATCATTTAAAAGCTGATTTGTCAATTTTCTTGGAATTGGATTGTTATTAGTAGAAAAGTGTTAGTAATAGGAAAGGAATGAAACGATGATGAGTTGGGTTGATGATCTGACGATGTCTTGGTAGTGATTGGTGGGCAGAGATAAATCTCCTAAAAACCGGATAGAAACCTTATAATACAGAGTTATTCTTCCAACAGACCAATTTCCATTTTGATACTTGGGTTGCAAAAGCATATATTATTGATAGTTCACTGCATTCTTGTAGATAAGCTCGTGATATTTATTATCATTGTAAAGATTATTGCTAAGAAAATGAAAACCAGGTCTTAAATTTTGTTAGCCAATGAAAACACACACACAAAAATATAGAAACCCTAACAAGCCCATCAACTTGGTCTGTCTGACGAATGTGTTATGGTGCCTTCCAGGTTTCATTATGACTGAAACATAGTGGTTTCTGAAATCCTAAGGAGGGTGCCCTCAATTAGTGCATTAGTGGATTAGGAATTTCGTGTTACTGGATTTTACACTAAAATTTAAGTGTACTCACTCTATTAATTAAATCCATTTTTGTTAAAATCAATTTGCTACTACAGCAGACATTTCCGTTTAGCTTTTTTACATTCAAAAGCAATCTTCACTGCATAACTACTTTATTACTACGTATCTTTTATTGCAAGCAAACTTGTCATTATAAGTAGAAATTTTATTTGGTCCAAGGCAGATGACTTGGCATCTTAAACCACCCCTACCTAATGAGACTCTTTTAGAGTGTACTTCGTATACCGTTTTTCCAGTATCTCTATCATTCTGATATAGAAATTGAAGTTCCAAGAAGCGAAACCTTTTTCACATAATAGTAGGAAAGGTGAAACAAAAAGATAAGCTACAAGCACTAGGAAATGTCAAAGTCTGAGTTTAAAGCAAAAGGTGTCAAAGGAGTAATATGAAAGCAATTGACTATGTAAAAGAGGATGGCAACGGAATTATAAAGAAAACACTAGTTTCTACAAGCACAGAAACTTACAGGTAAGACTTTCACGGAGTATCTTGTTACATTTGGATCAGCAACCTTACCCGGATTAGATGCCTGTTACCGAAAAATAAAAAACAATTCAACAATTTTAAACTAAATAGGTTCTTATCTTATATAACAAACAACGAGTCAAAAACTATAATGTGAAGTGACAAATATTTCATACTACATACAACAACAACATCCAAGCCTTAATCCCAAAAGAATATGGAGTTGGCTAACATGAATCGATCAATGATATCAATACTAAAAGGAGAAGATAAGGAAAAAAACAAAACAAAAAACAAAAAAAAACACAAAAAAGTAAAGTAGGATAAAGATAAATATAAGATAACAATAACATAAGAATATAAGAAAGATAAAAGATAAAAATATAAAAGAGCATAAAAAGTAGGACATCAAAATAACATAAGAACATAAAAAGATAATGAAGATACACGATAAAAGAAAAAGAGAGGAAAGATAGAAAAGTAATCACTCGTTCACACGAATGTGCGCCCTCCATTTTGCTCTCTCCAAAGCTATACTCTCATTCAACCCAAAAGACGCATATCCGTTCTGATTCCTCTAATCCAAGTCTGTTTGGGTCTTCCTCTCCCTCTCCTCTCTGCCTTTTCTCCCCACCTCTCAAGTCGTCTAACAGGTACATCATTCGGTCTTCTACGCACATGACCAAACCACCGTAAACAAGATTCCAACATCTTATCTTCTATAGGTATCACTCTCACCTTTTGTCTGATTATCTCATACTACATACACAGATAAAATTCCTTCCACATATTGTTCGTAAAAGTTGTCAGATACTACCTGGCGATTTGACGATTTGAAATGACTTTGCCTAAATGTAACATCAGAAAGAGGGTATAATCTAATCCTCGTTATTAAATCTAAAATTTAAATGACCTAATGTTAGATCATCAGCATGTCATGGTTCTGTCAAGGATAACCACACCACCAATACTTTATTTACTGCGGTTCCATTTTTTTACCCCCATCACCAAGTTGGTGTTGGTTCATTCCATGAAAAGGGATTGTGATTCATTAAGAATCATGATTATATTAAATACCTTCTGCGACTCACCAAATGAATGAAATAACCATTCCTTGCAAAACACTACAAAGCATATTGGTAAGACTGACTTCATTAATAATTGCAGCGTACAGTTATTTTGTGTCAGCGTGTAGTGGAATTAATGTTAGAATACAGCCTCATTCTTCAGTGTACTTCCACTATCCCATTTAATTTGTCTTATTTTCCTTCTTGTGTTCTTAAACATTTTCCACTTTCTTAAGTTAAACATCACTAACTTCTCGTTTTTCTCATTTCACTTTGACTACCTAACTTTTTAAAATTATTCAATTATAGTGGTCGCCCTGTTTAAGAGATAATGTTTAAATGCAGTCAAAATACATCATAATTTATTTGTTTTCATCATGAGTTGGATAAAAAGAATGTGAACCTAATGTTTTAGGGCAGAGGGAGTGTGATTTCAAAAAGCTAAATATGTGGCTGGGAATAAATTAAAAAAGGATAAACTAAAGGGGCTGTGGAAATTTGGGGAGTTTACCTTATCCTTGATTTCTTCTTAATGTTTCTTGGATATTTTATTACCATAACAAAGCTCCCTTTTAAATAGGGATTACATGCGCAAAAATACCTAAAACAAGGAAAGGGAAATCCTAGCAAATCACTTCCTAAAATAGATTAACTAATGAAGGTAATAAAATCAATCAATCAAAGAACAAATGTCATCAAGCTATTAATGCCTCTAGTATAGAGACAATATGACCCACTCAAGGACACCACAGTAACAATCATCATCATCAAGGTTTTGAAAGGCGAAATCGAGTCCCGAGGCGTTCGGTGGTTGCCTCACGAGGCGTAAGCCTCGAAATTAACAGTCTAAAAGCGTGCAACATATCAGATAGTATAGATAATTCATAACAATAACACAAATAAACAAAATCACAAGTAAAAAGAACATAACAATAAAATATTCAAGTCAAAATAACATAAAAATGAAATAAAAAAACATGAAAATTCCAAGACAAAAAACCAATAATTGATAATCAACTTTATTAAATAAAAAAATAAAACCAAACTGTAATGAACTTAACTATAATATTTCCAATTAAAATGAAAATCTTAAGTCAAGTAAACTAGTAAAGTATGTAGTATTAAACAAATAAATTATTAAGATAAATGAAAGTTTTATATGATAACTTTACGGATTAAACAGTAGTCTTAATAAATACATTAATAACGTTAAATAGCTTTAAATATTTCAAAATAAAACCTTTACATAACTAAAAAGTTAAATAAAAAAGTTAAATAATAAACACAATAAGAAATTAGAGAGGTTGGGCGGTGGGATATTTTATAATTGCTTGGACGAACCGGCGAAGCAGCTCTTGAAGTCTCTGTACCGAGCTTCGACTGAGACTGTGAGACACCAGGCTGATCGAGCAGCTCTTCTTTAAGTCGTTAGTTCTAATTCTTTAATATCGTAAAAGAGTGAAAGACCTAAGGCTGTGGCTAAGTAATAAACGATCCAGGTATTCTATATTTTAGGAGAGAAAATTTGAGGCCCCCAATTTTTTTTTTAAAATAGGCCCAACCTTGCGTAAAACTAGAGGCGAACGCCTCGTGTACGCCTTGCGCCCCACAGTCCGCATCAACGCCTCAGCAAATTGAAGACGTAAGCCTTGTTAGCAGAAGGTAAAGCTTAAGCCTTTTAGGCGATTACCGACCACCTTTGCGCCTTTGCGCCTCAGGTGCGTAAAGGCTAAACGCCTTTTAAAACCATGATCATCATGTCTACTATATATTTATATATGTATGTATGTATGTATCATCATCACCATCATCATTGCCCCATTGTCACAAAGGCTCCCGCCTACGGTGGGGTAAGGGGGTCGGATGTACACAGTCTTACCCCTGTACTAAGGCACAGAGAGACTGTTTCCGGGTGACCCATAGTGGAAATTGCATCGAAAATTGCATGGGCTGAGTGCTGCTTCATAACAAAGAAACGCGGACACTTTAGTGAATATATATGCATTTATGTGTCATATGTGTGTTGTGTAAACAACAAAGACAACAGAGTAGCTTTATCACACTCCCACCGTCCCACGAAGTATCGAATAGAGGACGTACTTGTTCTGGACTGTGAAACATCTCAATGAAAGGGTATTCCTTCTTTTGTCGCGTTATGCAAAATCCAGGGTACTTTGGGCACTCAACCTGAAATTATTAAAGAACCAAAATGACAGGAAAATGTATTAATGTCAAGTTCTGAATACTTATGTAAGATTGTGAGAAAACATTGAACTCTTATGAAGAACGGGAATCATGGATGCGATAGATGATGGTCATCACGGTAAAAAAACAGTAATAACAATGATTCTCCTTCTAGGACTGCAGAAAGCTCGGGTGAACTAAGGGCCTAATATGTTAAACCAAAGCAGGTGGAGGGAGAAGAGAGTGTGTGGTAGCGATACTGCAGATATGAATGCGACTGCAGATATGAATGCGACTCTGGCCCCTAATGTTATAAGGATGTTTTTACTTAGACTGTAATCCGTCCCAGATCAGACCAGACCAGACCAGTTCAGACCAGACTTGGATAGTTATAAAAATACAAAGACACCAGACATTACAAGACCAGGCCAAACCAACAAATTACAGTCCAAGTAAAACATCTTAAGAGGCCACTTACACGTAAAAATTTTACATTAGGATAGAATTCAGCAGCTGCTTCCTCCAATACTTTATCAAGATGTCTTGTATAGTTACCCCTATGAATTCCGGACACACATCATGAGATTTAATTCAAATTTTTACCAGTTGCGATCATAAACCAGGAAGGAGAAGAAATCTGACTGAAAGAATCAACTAGGAATTACTTGATAGTGAATGCAACAACCACGGGATTTCCTTGATGAAGAAGCTGGACGAATTCGCGCTCCGATGTAAAGTGAATAACTTTTGATGGCCCAAGATCTTTCGGGTAGCCGGTGTAGTATCTTCAAGTTACTAAAACGTTTAGATTACTTAGGTCTAAAAAGAGAGGTTAATACTTATATTCAATGATATTGTAGACCATTTCAAACTACACACGAGTAGTTATCTCCACACAACATGCTTATATCATATCAAAATAGCTACCAATGGAAACCCATGCAACCAAGCCTTTGATACTAAAACAATATAAGCACACGATGCTAATCATAAACATGCTGCTTCAGAAGAGAAAAACGGATAATATTTGCTTTGAGGCATACTCACTTGCAAGTAGCACGAAGATTTATCATCAATTTACTTAAAAGGGTTTGCTCCTCCATCTCACTGAAATTAAGATGGAAAACGAAACAGAGAATAATCATATGAATAGAAGACACATAACTAGAAGAATGAGATTTGAAAGAAAAAAATGTGTAAGCTAACCTAACATGGGCTCCGGAGGGGGGGGGGGCTAATCATTTCAGTGAATCAAAGAATGGCGATCGAATAAAAAGAGCAAATGTTATTTTTATGTTTGTTCTTTGTTAAAGTGTGGATTAGTTTTCAAAGTTGTTTTGTGTCTAGAGGCAAGGAGGGTCTGTACGTCTAACGGTCTAAAGGGAGGGCGGATAATATAAACTGGGCCTTAATTTTAAAAAATTGAAAATTTTCTTCTTCTTAAACTAATGTGCATAATAATAATATTTCAAGACCTTTATAATAAAGAAAAGATTTAAATTCATTATATTAAACATAGTAGAATCACGACTTCAAAATAACAAAAAATTACTTAAATACATTTCTTATTGAGCATTGTGAAGTGAAGTCATCAAGGATAGAACCAACCCTCAATGGATACCAATCAACCATTAAAAAACTATAAATAAAATCAATTAATAAACTAATCAATAATATTATAAATCAATAAAAGAAAAAGTCTAAAATTCTAAAACATTAAGAAATAAGGAAGGACGCCTTACATTTATATAGAAAAACTTGAAATGGAACAAATTAGCACAAACTATTTCAGTTAGTAAAACCAAATGTTCATAAAGGATAAGGATTTATAATAAATCATTAATAATGCACGGTTTACCCATTTCGATTTTTAAAGCCGAAAAATATTAGATATATGAAGAAATCATGTAATAGAGTTATTGTGCAACATACAGCTACCCATAAATCAACATATTCTAGAAATGTATAGTACAAATCTTAAATAAGATTGAATAATAAAGAAGATAGCAAACTTTTCTTAAAAAAATGATAGCAATCCAAACTTAATTATATTAAGAGAAGAGTTTTTTCCTAAAATATTACTAAGAAAAAGGTTATGGACAAAAATGTGACTTAGTAAGCTTTTAGTGACTATAATTGTGTTCAATGTTTCTATCACATTCACTATACCGTAGTAACTTTGAACACAATTATAGTCACTTAAAGTTACCAAGTCACATTTTTGTCCATTACTTTTCAAAGAGTAATATTAGTGGAATTATTTCTTAAGAGAATCTATGAGACATCTAATTGAGGCCGGAGGAGTACCTGAAGAGTGAAGACTGAAACCCTGACCTGCTGAAGCGGTGGGGCAGACGCAGTCCGCAGTGAAGCCTGAAGCCTGGAGGTGACTCGGACTGGAAGTGAGCCTGAGGCCGCGGTCAGCGAGTCGGCGTTCCTCGGTTCCTGCGTTCGCCGGCCGTGAAATCCCGAAGGAGGTCTCCGTAATGCTCTGCTTACTCGGGCCTCAGCTTTTTCGTATTCTAGGGCCATTGGGCCATTGGGCCGTTTAGCTGGACAAAATTATTACTCCGTATTTTAGAACTGAAAATTGATAATTTGAGTATGCACCTACTTTCAAATTTGACTTTGCACCTCAATTTCTAAGAGCCCGTTTGGTAGCACGAAAATCGGCTGTTTTGGCTGATTTTGCTGAAATTTATGAAGTTCTGGCTGAAGTGACTGCATTGGCTGATTCTGTTGATTTAAGAAAAAATTATTTTAAAAATATATTTTATTAATAAAATAAAGAAAAAAGTATATGTAAAAATAGCTAAAATGATCATCTACAGTAACTTCAGCCAATACAGCCAGAAAATTAACTCAAACCTTACTTTTTCTGCTTATTACACAATTCAGCGCGCGAAAGTAAAAGTTACCTGTTTGGTGAAAAAAGTTAGCTGAAAAGCCTGATAAGCCGAAATACAGTGTTACCAAACAGCCTCTAAAACTTTAATATTTGCATCTTCCCTTAAGAATTCTGTTAGTTAGAGTTACAACTATTATTAGAAAGACAAAATTGCCCTTTGATACAAGCAAGACTTAACTCTTCAAGGACATGTTTACTTCACGGGTTATTAAACGGTGCTTATGAAGACTCGCGTTAATAAGCGATGCATAAATTAAGCAGTGTTGTAAGCTCATGTTTACTTCAAAAGATTTAAAACATTGTTTAACATTAAAATGTCCAAAGTAACTCTATACATGTATAGACACACACACACTCATGAACACAAGTATATAATATAATACGTGGGGTCACCTCATATGTGTACCCATACCCCTGGTCCCTGCCCTGCGCCCTATACCCTACCCCAATTCCACGCCCTTGACCCCTACCCCTACCCTTACCACGTCCTTACCCTCTACCCCTAATCCCCACAACCCTCATACTCATACCACGTCTTGTGTTTAGAGCCTTCAACATTTTGTTAAAATTTCTGCTAGTAGCAGAATGTGCTCTACCACGTCTTGTGTGTAGCACAAAAACGACTATCTTGACCAACAGTAAGTAAAAATATTGTGAGCCGTGAATTGTAGGATTATATGCTATACCTCTAAGTAGTTTTTCCACACTTTCATCACTAGCCGTGAACTTTTTTGCAATTGGGTCCCACCCAACCCCGAATTGAACTTCATAAGATCAACATATTTTTGATATCCTTGCTTTAAGTACTTCCACCGACTTTGATACTATAAGTATGTCTTTTAATTCAACAATAATTCGTTTAGTAATCACTCCACTACTATCATGGAATCCACGTTGAGTAGCCTCAACCAAAAGTTCAAGTAATAAAGAACTTTCTTCTACACTCCAGGAATTATACCCAACTTTTCTCTTTCCTTGCGAATCACTCAATGTAGAACTATCAAAGAAGTTATACTTATTAAGCATAGTTTAGTCAAAAATAGACAAATATTGGCAGACCACAAACATTTTTGCACTTTTACTTTTAACATTTTTTTTATAAATTTGAAGATCTGGCCATGAAAAAACAGACCACTTACATATTACTAGTATATGGCTTTATGAAACTAAAGATTCATGTTTTTTTAAAACATTTTCACTCTAGAAAGATAAAGTTCCCGTAAATCACTCATCTATTGATGCTTCTGAAAGAATCACTAGAAACTAGTACTAGATCAAAGAATCACTATACATGTCTGTTAGTATACGAATATGATATATTTCAGATAAAGCCCATGAATATATCTACAAACATGCAAAATAAACATTGAGTCTGTGTAATATAACTATATAAAACATAAACCTAAGCACCTGCCTCTCAGCCTGAAATAGATAAATAGATAAACTTTCCGCTACAAAATTCATTGAGATACACATATAAAAAACATTTGTGTGTTTGTGCAAATTCAGTTTGTGCAAATTGAATTTGTGCAAATTTAGTTTGTGCGTTCAGTTTGTGCAAATTCAATTTGTGCAAATTCAATTTGTGCATTCAGATGGTATATATTCAGTTTGTCCATTACGCTGGTCTAGTTTGTGCAAATTCATCATATCCAGATTCTCAAAATTATCAATTATGCTATTTATGTAATATGGTCCATAAACCTTTCCCCTAGATACATGATGTTGATAAAGATAAAGGTAAAGAAAACAACACTTGAATTACTGCATACACGTGAAATTCCTTAGTACAGAGGTAATTATTAATTTAGTAAACAACTGCAATTAAAAACTATAAAAGAGCAAATTAAATTAAAGAATTATAATTAAAAAAAATTATCGCAAAAAATGAATAAATATTACGTGAGCCACTATTTTAGAAGAAATTAAGGAAATTAGTTGTGGTTTGTTAGAGTGGTATTATCCAGCATATCTAGCAAATTAAATGTTGAGTGATATTATGTCGTCATAGCTATTCTATAAAAAAAATACAACTATTCCTAGTGGATTTGGAAGGTCTGCCATGAGTATTATTATCGAGCTCACATAATATTATCGAGCCACTATTATCTGAGTATCACCATGGTTCTTTCAAAAAAAAATATGAGTATCATGGCCAGACCTTGAATGGCCACTCTGGCTGATACGTGAGATATACATTTTTTGGCCTAAACGTCCATCAAAGTCTTTCAAAGTTCATTAAAATCAATAATAAGTAAAATCGATGGAGTGATTGAGGATACCTCGATTTTATTAGATTATATGGAAATCTAAATTGAGGTCACCTTGATTTTAATTGAATTCTAATCTCCATTATAATGCACATTAAAGACACCCTCTTACATTTTATGAATTCATTTTAATCTTTCTTACTTTTTGGAGGTTAAAATCATGAAAGAATCACTTTATTCTTTATTTTCTTAAAACACGTAGCAAACCTATATGCATCTTATGGTGTGGGAGTGTGGGACAGAGCCAGGGGCGGACCGTAGTACATACCCAGGGGGGCTGCCGCCCCCCAACAATTTTTTTTTAGTATATATATATAAAAAAATTTATTTTTACCCCCACAACATTTAATTCTCGCCCCTCCAAGAAAAATTTTGAACCCCCCCAAAAAATATTTTCTCCCCCAAAGCATAGCCCACTCGCAGAAACCCAATTGTTTAAGAGCCTAAAAAATAGAAATTTTACAAGTAATATTATATCAACTCACTCCAAAATTTATTCTCCATTAACCCACCCCAAAATCTAATCCCATCCCACCGCCCAGACCAAACTAATGAAAAACATGCGCACTTAGAAAAAAGAAACGGAAAGATCGATTATTTTTAAATGATTGTCCTTATGCCTACTATGTTCATTGCTTAGCACATCAGTTGCAATTAGCATTGGTTGCTGCTTCTAGAGAGGTGAAATATGTGCACAATTTTTTCATCGATTCAGTCTTTATTATTAAATTGACTAATTCTTCTTGCAAACGAAGTGATGAATTAAAGGAAGCTGAAGCACTTGAAATTGCAAGAATGTTGGAAATTGGTGAGCTTGAAACAAGCAGAGGACTTAATTAGGTTGGTAGATTACAACAATCTGGGGAAACTCGTTGGAGCTCACATTTCAGTTCTATTTGCAGTTTGATTAGGATGTTTGCTGCAACTTGTTCTGTTTTAGGAGATGTTGAAGAGAATGGCAATAACTATTCTACTCGTGGAAATGCAGCTAGAGAACTTAAGAAGATTAAATTTTTGATTTTGTTTTCTTGTTGCATCTTATTAAAAAAATTATGGGCATTACAGATCTTCTATGTCAGCATATACAGAAGAAGTGCCAAGACATAGTAAATGCTATGCATTTGGTGTCAAACACCAAAATGTTGATCCAAAAGTTAAGGGAGGGTGGATGGGATAACTTCTTAATAATTGTTAAAGAGTTTTGCACAAAGCATGAAATTGAAGTTCCTAATATGAAGTCTCCTTATGCGGTAAAACGCAAACGCCATGATCAAGAAGGGTTTGATATTGAACGTCACTATCGAGTTGATATGTTTTACGCAGCCATAGATTCATAATTGTTGGAGCTGAATAGCAAATTCGGTGAACAGATAATGGATCTTCTTACTCTTAGTGGTGCTTTGGATCCTAAGGACTCATATAAGTTTTCTAACATTGATGCTATCTGTTGTTTAATGGATAAATATTACCCCTTTGATTTTATTGAGCAGGAGAAGGTGGGCTTGAGGTTTCAATTGCAACATTATAAGCTCAATGTTCTAAACCATCCAAAGTTGGCGAATTTTTCTACAATGGGTGAACTTTGTCAAAGATTAGCGGAGACGGAGATGTCAAAAGTGTACTTTCTTAGCTTGTTGATAAATTGATCCGACTTTTGTTGACTCTACCGGTTTCGACAACAACAATCGAAAGGACTTTTTCCGCAATGAAAATTATAAAAACAAGGCTTCACAATAAAATGGAGGATGAGTATGTTGCAGACAACCTTATTGTTTATATTGAAAGAGAAATTGCTAAAACTTTTGACTAAAAAGCCGTGATTGAGGAATTTATCTCGTTGAAGAAGCGTTGGGTACAATTCTAAGGTACTAACTTTAACTATTTTGTAATAATATATTTGTCTCTTCTTCTATTATAATGCTTCATTTGATTACTACTCCATATTATATTAAGGTTATAACTTATAATAATAATCGCCTAGATTTTTTTGTTTAAATTATCACCCCCCAATATCAATTTCCTGGGTCCGCCCCTGGAGAGAGCCAACAACCAAGAAAGAAATCTTAAACATTCCAACGAAATGCTGTTAGTACATATAGACTACTTTTTTGTACATATTTTGTTTACACCCTTAGTTGTTGGTCTACATAAACATTTCGTTCAAAAACTGCCTTGTAGGTATAAAATTGGGGAGGGTGTATACACGATGTGTACAAAAAACTATGGTCTTAATTTGTTGAGATGACACTAACTCGTTAATTTTGACTCTTGAAAAAACTCCCTAATTTTGACCAACATACTAATTTGACTTCTCGAAAAAAAAAACGTCTGGTACCTTCTCGTGCTAC